TTGCCAGCTAAGAAATGTAGACAAATGAATCTTAGTTTAAGATGTGAACTTATGGACTAAATATTGTGTAACAAGCTCGTAAATAGTCTCTTCAAAAATCCCAAGTGTATCTAATGATCTCTGATACTGATAGCATTGTTGGGCCACAAATTCACAATAACATCTAAGATAGGCTTCAGATAGTACAACAATATTTTTCTGCAATAAGCACAAAATGTAATAAAGGCATACTCCACTTCTAATCCTCCTTTTTTCCTGGAAAGATATTTGGTGGACATAAAGTCTTAATTCACTATCTATTTAAGAAAGAAAGCTGAGACACAATTTTCACTATCTAGTCAGTAAAGTAAGGTAAAATTTAAGCCCTAATCTGTAGTGAGGAGGTAATGTCCAAGAAGAATAGCCAATTAGGACTTTGTTTGAAACTGTTATAATGAAATAATACTTGAAATTAAGGAAAGGTCAGAGAAATTAAATGAATGAGGACTTCTGAGTGTCCTCAGAGAAAGAGACAAAATTGTGTGCAGTCAAAACAAGATATTTGACTACTTGCAAATAAAGAAACAGACTGCTCTCAAACATCACTCAAGACTTGAACAATTAGCTTCTTAGTATTAATCTTAACTTTTTATCTTACTATTTAATAGGAGAGCAGAATTTTTATAACAAAAATAAATTTCAACACTAAATGCAACTTCCTATTGTATCAAAATGGTCTAATTTATGACCCCAAACAGGATGAAATTTCAACACTAAATGTAACTTCTTATTGTATCTATTAAAATGGTCTAATTTATGACCCCAAACAGGATAAGTTCAATGATAGTGTCACACAAAGCTACATATAATGCTCATAGTTACTACAAACATAAATTGCCACCTTACTGGTTTTTTAAGTTAACTTAATACATTGAAAACACTGAAAACTTATTTACAATTTCCAAATTAATGCAGAATGTATCATTTTTTTAAAAAATATGATTATACAAATCACTGAGGCTTTCCATATTTAGTTTATTCCCAGATGAATGGTTATCTTTTAACAGAAAGTAATTAGTTAGGGACCACTAATACTCAAATCTTGGCAGCTGTGAAGCCATCTTTTAACAGAAAGTAATTAGTTAATCACTAATACTCAAATCTTGGCAGCTGTGAAGCTCCTAACATTACATAAAAATCTCTCAGACTTCCAAAAGGCTAGTAGAGCTAACCATTCCTAAAACCAGTTTAATTTGCTGTGGTACTGTCACTTGCAAACCAAGTATTTTTTTTCTAAATTCCCAGTGCAGTCATCAGGTGATCTACCAAGGAAATAACAGATTAATTTATGTATGACCGAAACAAAAAACTCTTACTCAAGGACATAAAAGTAATCCAGAGGTAGTGATTAATCTGCTACTCACCTAGAAATACCTTTGTGATTTGATATTGCAAATGTGTATTCAAATCAGATTCCATGCTTAGCCTACTACACGTCTGTGCTTTCCTTCATTTCAGTTTCAAATTTTTCATTGTCAAAAACCTTGTATGGTGTTCCAGCATCCACTTCTCAACAATAATTTATAGCAAGTGACATTCACACACACATTGACAACACACAAGATTTGGGTTTTTTCAATAAAGAAAGAATTTCCACTTGGAAAAAAACCCCACAAATGCAAGTTATTTCATTCATATTAGTCAGATTCATCAAGACCAATGCTCTCCTGAAGTTTAAACCTAGATCTCTGAGACTTAGAAACCTCAGGAGACAAACAGAATGCTCAAAATATCACCTCCTGCTAGCAATTAAAGCAATTCAGCATGTTCCCAAGAAAAAAACCAGTAACACATATATGTGTACATGCATGCACATATATAAAAACCGGAATCTATCAATCTCCAACCAATTCATAGCAAGTTTTTACTTCTTGTTGTTCTATTCCTGCT